AGAGGCCTTTCTAGGGTTAGCGCTTTAAATCAGTCCCGGGCCTGATCAAGGAAGGCTTCCTGGAGCAGCTGGCACTTAGGCGGCAGCTTGGAGAGGTGGCCGAGGTCCGAGCAGGGGGAAAGGAGGCGCAATTCTTCGGGGAGAGTGCACTGTGTTGGCGACCCAGAGGTGAGCGGAGGCGTCCCCTACACTGGGTTAATGACGAGGGCAGGAGGAAAGGAGCGAGCCATGCTGGCTCTGTTGCCGGCCAGGCCCTTGGCTGTGCCTTGTGGAGTATGTTATTTATGTGGAGAAAAGGCTAAGAAGTTAGTAGTGAGCCGTGGCATCCTGGAGGGCTTTTTATTGCAGATGTCATTTTCCTGGAGCGTGGCATCTCTTTTCTCTCTCGTCCTCTGTTCTTCATTCAGGTAAATGCCTGAAACAACAGGACAACAGACCACAAAAGACTCGGTGGCCCTCTGGGCTGGGCTGCTGCACAGCACGCAAGGCAGCAGGGAGCTGGGCGCCCGCCGAGCTGGCTCGTCCCTCAGGGAAGCGCGGGCTGTGTGAGTGCCCAAGGTCGAGTGGTTTCAGGGTTGTGGTGGTTCGTCACACCCTTAGGTACCTCGACTTGTCAACGGCTTTGTCTAAAATATTAGTGAAAAAAGCAAGTGAATGAAATAAAGTGTAAGTGTGGGGAGAGAATCTTGAGAGAAGAAAAGTTTCATACTTTTTAGTACAAAAGCACTTTCTCCAAGAAGTCAATCTTTCAATTAAAACAAAACAACCCTAAAAAACAAATGTGTGTGTGCACACGCACACGCAGTTTAAGTCCAGCCAAGTGCTTTCACTCAGTCTCTTGAGACAATTTGATTGCCTGTTTATTCTGCAAGTCTAAAAGGAAACTGGTGCCTTTAGCGTTCTGAATGTCTTTTAAAAATTAACTTACGAACCCAGCCTGCAATATCAGAAGAGCTAAAGTGCTTTTAGCCAAGCACAGACTGCTGCGCCGATGCCACCTGAGCATCAACACGCAGGAATAATCCCTTATTAGACAGCACGTGGGCTTTGGGGCGGCATTTTCTTTGCATGGCAGAGCTTTTCCCCAGACCACCCTGCAGCCTCAGGGAGGCCCTGGTCTGCCAGCTGCGGCCGTGGGACACAACGTTCTCCCCTGTTCTTCCGCCTCTCTGAGGATGATGTGTTTTGTTTTCTATTGTTTTGATACTGCAATGTCTTGTGAATTACCAGGATTATTTTTTTTATAGCAATGTACAGTGTGTATGCATGGGGATATGGCAAATAGACTATGAAAATTTTTTAAAGAGTTGGCTTTTAAGAATGTTTTCAAATTCACCACTATGGAAAACAGTATGGAGGTCCTTCAAAAAATTAAAAATAGAGCTACCGTATGATCCAGCAATCCCACTGCAGGGCGTATGTCTGAAGGGTATATGTGTGGGATCTGGAGGAGATATTTCCACGCCATGTTCACTGCAGCATCGCTCACACAGCCGAGACACAGAACAGCCTAAGTGTCCATCAGCAGGTCACACACACACACACACACACACACACGAGTATCATGCAGCCAGGAGAACAAAGGACATCCTGCCACATGCGACAACATGGGTGGACCTAGAGGGCATTATGCTAAGTGAGGGAAGCCAGACACAGACAAATCCTGCACGGTGTGACTTATGTGTGGAATCTGAAACGAAAGTCAGACTTGTGGAAAAGTGGTTGCCAGGGGCTGCGGGGGCAAGGGAGAGAGTGGTCAAAGGGCACAGACTTTCGGCTGTGAGATGAGTAAGGTCTGGGGATCTAATGAACACGCACGTGCCCGTCAGTAGCACTATCGTGTCACTGAAATTTGCTAGGAGAGCGGAACTTGCACGTTCTCACCACATAAATAAATCAATAGGTGATGGGTGTGTTCATTAGATAGGGGAAATCTTTTCACAATTTTAAGAAAAAAATGTTGAAGTTCATTGTATTTTTCTAGCAATTACAGAAATAATAGGAAAAAAAACATAATAAATGGGAGAGGGAGTGGAGATGCCCGTGTCGGCTTTTTCCCAGTGACCCCAGTCTGTCATGTTCCCAAAGGGTCACCTTTCATGCTGTCTCAGTCACCACGTGTGCTGTCTCCAGTCCTTCACTTTTAGAGGGGTGCTCACACTGGGCACGTCATGTTTCTGTCTATAGGTTTACTTTGTTTGCACGTTACGTATAAATGGGATCACACAGCACGTGGTCATTTATGTCCGGCATCTGCCCACTAGTGTAATGCTTTTGAGGTTCAGCCACGTTTTAGCATTTACCAGGATCTCACTCTTTTTATGGAGTAATAGTCCATTGTCTGGATGGACCACGTGTTATTTATCCATTTGTCAGTTGATGGACATTGTCTGTTGTTTTCACTTTTTGGATATTATGAATGATGTGGCTATGAACATTTGCATACGAGTTTTTTGTGTGGACATCTCTTTTCAGTTCTCTTGGGTAGATAACCTACAAGAGGAATTTCTTGGTCATGTGGCGAATTTATGTTTACCTTTTTAAGAAAATTCCACACTTTTCCAGAGCGGCTGCACCATTTTACATTCCCTCCAGGGTTCCCGTTCTTCCTCATCCTCTCCAACCCTTGTTATTATCTGCCTTTTTGATTCTAGCCATTCCCGTGGGCGCCAGGCGATATGTCATGGTGGTTTGATTGGCGTTTCCCTGACGACCGATGCTATTGAGCAGCTTTTCATATGTTTATTGACCATTCTTATATATTCTTCGGTAATATGTCTATCCAAATATTTTGCCCATTTTTAATTTGGGTTAGCCTTCTTGAGTTGAAAGAATTCTTTATATATTCTGGATATAAATCCTTTACCAGATATAAAATTCGCAAATATTTGCTTACAGTCTCTGGCTTGTCTTTTTATTTTCTTAATTGCCACTTTTGAAGTGCAGAAGTTTTAAATTTTAATGAAGTCCAATTTACTATTTTTTTTTTTATCGATCATACTTTTGGTGTCATATCTAAAATATCATTGTCCAACCAACAGCACGAAGATTTTGTTCATTGTTTTTCTCCAAGAGTTTTGTAGTTTTAACTCTTAATTTTAAGTTTAAAATCTTTTGAGTTCATTGTTTAACATAGTGTAGATGGTGTAAGAGTCTGAATCCCAGGACCGTTTGTCGAAAATGCTGTCATTTCCCCACTGAATTGCCTCGGCAGCTTCGTCAGGCACCAGCCGGCTGTTCACAGGAGCGTTTCTTTTTGAGCTCTCTGGTCTGTTGGTCTCTGCGTCCAGCCTCTGCCGGCACCACGCTGTCTGGATTACTGTAGCTCTCTGGCAGGTTTCGAAACTGAGGTATGAAGCCTCTAACTTTGTTCTTTAAGATGATTTTGGCTATTCTGAGACCTTGGTGTTTTCATATAAATGTTAAGATCAGCATGTCAGTTTCTGAAAAGAAAAAAATTTTTTTTCTTTTATTTTGCCTGCTGAGGTTTGCATTGAATCTGTAGCTCACCTTGAGGATAGTGGGCATCTTAACCATATTGACTCTTCTGGCCTATGAACACGGTATCTTCCGTTTATTTAGACGGTCCTTCATTTCTCTCAGCAGTGTTTTGTAGTTTTCAGTGTATAAGTATTGTAGTTTTTTGTTACGTTTATTCCTAAGTGTTTTATTCTTTTGTTGCTATTTCAAATGCAGTTATCTTCTTAATTTCTTTTAAATTGTTCATTGCTAGAACATAGAAATGCCACTGATTTCTGTGTAATGATCTGTGTCCTTGCCATCCTCTTTCATTAGCTTTAGAAGTTTTGGTGTGAGTTCCTTAGGATTTTCTATGTACAGCATCACGTAGGCTCATGTTTGTTTATTTTTCTTTCCTCACTAGAATCCTGCTGCTTCTGTTGGTGCTTCACGAGAGGGAAGTTATGAGTAGATGTACAGAAGCTTGAGGCGGTGCACCCTCTGGGGTATTCCAAAACAGACTAGAAGAATCAGTTAAAAGGCAGCCTGATAAGTGCTGTCACGTTTACATATAGTGAATACAGAAACGAGGCAGGTCGAGAATGACGTCGTAGAGGCCAGCTCTGCCCCGGCCCTCCCATCAGTTGTCCTTGATGTCACTGTCGGAGGCAAAGTCTCCGGAGGCAAAGCCAAAGTCTACTGGAGGGTGAAGCCTAGTGCGGAATGGTCCCGTCTTTAAGAATGTGGAGGTCGTGCTCTGTAACTGGTCGGGATGAGACATTTAGTGGACAGTGGGGTCTTCAGTTGTTACGCTCTGGTATAGGTTTGGTGTGGGTTTCCGTTTTCTCTCCGCAGATTCTGTAGGCTACAAGGCCAGTTCTTAGAGGGGGGTTAAATTTTGCTGCTTATTTTAACCATTAAAGCAATTATTTTGCTTCATTTTGGTGGGAAATACAATTTCTAATCCAGGTCTACGTCTATGCCACCCTGAATGTGCCCAATCCTGTCCGATATCGGAAGCTAAGCGAGGTCGGGCCTGGTTAGTACTTGGATGGGAGACCACCTAGGAAGACCAGGTGCTGTAGGCGTTTAAAAAAAATTTCTAATCCAGAGCCTTACCTGAGACATTTCTCCACAGTGACGAGTTTATTGGGCACTGTCTGAGAGTTTCAGTACACTCACAAAGGAGGCAGAGCCACAGGGTTATACCTTCCAGATCCGAGGAGGCGGGGATAAGCCAGGGACGGACAGTGCTCTGTCCGGGGTCATAGGCGAGCAGGCCTGGAGAGCAGGTGGAAGCACCTGTCACTCATAGCAGTGGGGTCAAGGTCGCTGGCTTCTCTGGCTCTGAGTGGTCATTGTGGACAGTCCCCCAGAGAAGCAAAGCGGGAACTTGGGATGCGAACCCTGCCAATCCTTACCTGAACGTCGGGGCTCGGCACGGACCCCAGGGTTGTCAGCTGTAAACTGTCTGAGCAGAACTCAGGGCAGTGTTTTTCTCATCCTGCCCCCATCCAGACCGTTGCTCCCGATATCTTTCGAATAGAGTGGAGCTATTTTTCCACACCATGTTCTAAATACTTAGGTCATACCAAAGCTCCGGTTAAGCCAGAGTTCTGGAAACTTCCAGCTGTGGCCACGCTAGCCCGTGCTTTCCTCTTCACCGTACTCCACAGTGTGCCAGCAGGTTGTCCGCGCTATCACTCCGCTCTGCGTGGCCCCGAACCTCGCTGCTGCCCACGGAGGTTTCGTGACAGCTCCAGCACAGGTGCTGGCGCGCGGAGCACACTCCATACGCGCTGTCAGTGCTGCTGTTCCCATGTGACACACACTGTGGCTGCCTTTCAGGGCCCGCTGACAGGCAGTGCTTGCTCCCAGCTGGGTGTGGTGCTGGAGGGACTGCTTCGGGACAGGGCTTCTCACCTTCTCGGTGGCCGGAAGACCAGGCGAAATGCAGGCTGGGAGTCAGGAGTGTGTGGCCAGCCAGGATCTGCATTCTAATGAGCTCTCAGCGATGCTGGCTCATGCTCGGAGCAGTGAGCGTTTAGGGTTTTTTTTTACTACAGAAAGAAAAAGGGAAAAAACAAAAATGCTCATCATCCCACCCAGATGACCTGGGAGCATCTACACATGGCTAGAAAGTGCAGACCGAAGCCACCACTTCCGCCCTTCTGCTGCCTGTCCCCCTTCCCAGGGAGACGGTGACACGTGTCTTACCAGAAATGCTGCTGGGCGTCCATGCGCCCACATCTTCGTGAGCCTCTGAGCGGGTGACCTCTGCTCTTTTTCTGGGGCGTTGTTTCTGACGGAGGAGGCTTTGCACTGACTGCAGCTGGGGGCTGCACTGCAGGCCTGTGCTCGGTGCTGGCCAGGGCCCCTCTTTCTGGAGCGTTCCTGAGACCATCCTCCCGCCCACTGCCGCCCTCACGTGTTTCAGTGGTGGTGTCCCCTCCACTCTGCCACGCGCTTCCTGCTTGTCATGCCGTGGTGGTGTCCCCTCCACTGGCTTCGGCTCTCTGTGGGTTTAGTGGCATGACCACTGGTTGGGAGCGATGCACGGGAGAGATGGGTTGTTGTGGTGAGGACGCACTTGAAACCGGTAAAATATAAATGCTTTGAAAAATAATTTTTTAAGGGAAAAAACAAACAAGTAGTTTGAGATACTGCATTTCAGACAGTTTGGTCTCTAGTGATTTACATCGTTTGGAAGCTTGTGCTGTCCCTCGGCCGTCACAAAGAGCGACGATAATGGTCACTGCTGTGGACCTCGCCACACGCTGCACCGCGTGAGAGTGGGTGTCGGTCCTCCACGTGGCAGGGGAGACGCTGAGGCTCAGAAGCTGAGGTCACACAGCTGATAAGGGGCAGAGCCAGGATTGGACTCCATGGCTTTTTGACTCCTCAAAGTGAGTTCTAGTATGGGGAATTTTCAGTTGACACATTAAAAAGTATCCTGACGAAAAGAGAATTTGAGCCACGTGCATTCAGGACTCATTCCTGACTGCTGGGCTGTGCGTTTCAAAACCGAACCGTCTTCAGTTAAATCCGTGTAGTCTGCAAAGTGGTCCATTTTACACTGTTGTCACATGTACGTTGTTTGTCGACTCCTCGTCCTTCCACGTGTTGACCGAAGCCTTGTGACGACACAGAAGGTTCATAAGTTGATCCACAAAGGGTGGTTTTGTTCTCTGCCGTTCTTGCTATTGCTCACGGCGTAGAGACAGCTGTGGTTATTTCTGCTGGGTGCTGATGGGTCAGTTTCAACTTCTGAATAATTGAGTTTTTTGTTGTTGTTTCTTCCTTTGTAGAGACTTAAAGCCTGAGAATATTCTCCTCGATGATCATGGTAAGTGAGTGAGCCTTTCACGTTTAAAGCATAGACTTTGTTGAGTGGGACTTGGACACAAAGCTAATGTGGATGGAGCTGGTTAATGCAGAATAGAAAGTACTACAAAAAGAAATGGGTATATGTTTTTTAAAAATGATAATATAGATAACATTGCCATTCCTCTGTATTCAGGCAAGAAGCAGCGATGGTCATAGTTTTCAGTTAATGATTGGGCTTTAGAAGCATATCAAGGTCAAGTGAAAGAAAGGACATTTTTCTCTCTCCTCTTCCTCGCTGTTGACCCACATCCTGCTTTATTCCTTGGACGTATGTTTCCAGGCTGCTCTGGGTACTGTCCCCTTGGCAGAGCACAGGTCACTGGGCAGGAGTGCAGATGCCCCGTGGGCTCTCATGCTGGCCGTGGAGGCCCTGCGACAGTGGACAGGAACGGCCTTTTGGAAGGACCTTTGTCGGCGGCACGGGCACCCACTCAGACCTGGGTTCTCTGGGTGACACCTGCACTCTGCGTGTTAACAAGCTGCTGTGTTAACAAGTAACCACCTAAGTGTTGAGAGGGAACTATTTTCAGGTGATCTTTTGGCTGAGAAGTCTTGCAGTCTAGTGGAGAGCATGTGACAAGGCCAACAGGATGCCGCCAAGGGGAGGGCAGGGTTGAAGGCAAGGGCCGTGAAGGCCACGCGGGCACTTCCAGTACATGGGCTCCTTTTTCACTCTGCCACGCGCTTCCTGCTTGTCATGCCGTGTGTGCGTGAAACAGCCGCCCTGTGAGGAAGGGAAGGAATTCACCTTTTATGGAAGGCGATACCAAGATTTGGAAGGATTTTGCCTAGGTCACGCCCATAGCTTCCGGCTCCTGGCCTGTGATTCGTTCTTTTTTTTTTTTTACTCTTCTTTTTTCTTTTTCTTCTTTTTACCCAAACCTGAACCCCAGCCCCAAACCCAACCTCAACCCCCTGGGGTTCGTTCTCGCTGTGCTGCTGATCAGAGTGGGGATTAAAACGCCTTAAAGAGGGAGGATGCACTCTGCGTGCAGTGGGGAGTGATCTCCAGCGTATGCCATTACCTGGAAAAAAGTAAGGCGCAGAACAGCGTGTGGCATGTTGTCTGCTCAGTGAAGGAAGAGGAAGTAGCAGTGCATATTCGTATTTCGTATCTGTACGTAAACACCAAGGGAAAGCCATAAACTAACGAGTGAAAACAGAACGTGGGGAGCAGATTTTCCACTGATGCTGATACTTTTTAATATGTTTGTAGTATATCATTCAATTTCTGCAACAACAAAAAAAAAGCCATTACATGCTGGGATTTTGATTGGAACTTTGTCGAATCTGTAGCAGATTTGTGGAGAACTGACATCGTAACGATATCGAGTCATTCAGCGAATGCGCTGGACATGCCACGGAGAGAGGCCAGCCCTTCTAACACCTTGACCTTGGGCTTCCAGCCTCCAGGACCGTGAGGAAGTAAAGTCCTGTTGCTTAAGCCCCCGGTCTGTGGCACTTCGTTATGGCCCCGGCACGTAGTATCCGGACGTTCCTCTGATCTCCCATGGTGTGGATTGGGCTGGATTTAATGTGCTCCTCACCCCCACCCGCACCACCGCTTTTCCTGTAAGCCACAGTTAGATCTGGAGGCTGGAATAGTTCCAGGTCTGGTCATGGGTGAGCAGACGTCGTGTGTGCTTCCTGTCGCAGGGCAGAAGGAGGCAGGCGGTGGCTGAGTAACTCTTTTTGTGGTGTTCAGGTTGGTCAGTGCTTTCGAATGCTGTCAGCCTGATCTACGTGTTATTCAGATCCTGCCGGCCTTTCGTTTAATGGCTTAACAGTCATTGCTGAGATACCTCATTTCACTGGGACTATAAAATGGCGATATTCTAATTCTGTCGTTCCTTTTGCACCCATTTGTTGGGATTCATCTGTAAAAAAGAACTTTGCTTCATCAACATTTGCATACTTGTTTGTTCAGGAAAACCAGGTGAAATACTCGAACACTGCTTCCCTATACTTTCACTTTTCAGAGTATTCTGTTCTCGATCATTCTCCAAGGCAAGCAATGAGGTTTCATTTTTCCGTGTCATATGAACTTGTGGGTTTTAACACATCGATGTGATTTAATCCATTGGAGCCATCATTCTTTTTGATGTTGATCGTTCCATCTTCGGCCAGTGAGTGTCCAGTGGGCTTTCATAACTTCCTGTTTTCAGTGTTCTAGGGTTATCTTGAACACGTGCTGACCGAGGCCTGGGATTGACCATTTCTCCAGAGGGCCCCGGCCTTGCATCTGGAAAGTGGCATTGTGAGGCCACGGCGTGGGCGCCGAGATGCCCATTGCTGCCCTGTTGGCTCTTCTTCCTAGACCTTGTCAGTGGACAGAGAAAACATTTGTCTTGTTTTTCTTTTTAAAGGAAAATGTTCATCATGGATTCATATTGATGTTCCTAATTCTCATTTAACTTTTTCATTTCATGTTTGCGTGTTTTTCTCCTAACGCTGAAAATATTAGTTCCTAATGATATTAACATAATTACAATATTTTTCTCCACTTTACCCTCTTACTGTGTAACAGAGATCACTCTCCAACAGTGAGTGGAGATCCTTCTGGATCCCTTAGTCCCGCTGCCTGCAGACGCACCGCCTGATTCTCCTGGCCTCACTAGGAGAGGGTGGGCTGTTTCCATTAGTGCAGCAGTGCATAGCCTTGGGCACCTGTCATCTCTCATCCTTTCTAGTGCCTCCGGGACACAGGCACAGGAGCGGGGTTGTGCTGGCTTGTGTTCCCACCAGCCGTGGCTTACTGTGCCTGCTCCCTGCAGCCCCACCGTCAGACGTGTTCTCCAACTCAGAGTGTTGGGTAGTTTGTCAGTGGTTTTACTGTTCATTTCTCAGTTTAAAAAAATCACTTCGTTAGTAGAAAAATAAGAGGGATACTTAATTTCACAGCATGCATGTGCTCTACTTAAACATAAAATACATAAAAACTACGTCGTTGAGGGGATCTTTGTATATGAAAGGAGCAAAACGAGATGTGCTAATAAATGACAGAGCTGGGACTGGAATGCAGGCTATGTGGTTCCAGAATCTGCTCTAACCCCTCCACCCTCCCGCCTCCCAGCGTGGGCGTGCGCCCGGGGCATGACACAGCTCATGGCGTGGTATAGCCTGAGGCAGGGGTCCAAGTTCTGTCTCTAGAATAATGTAGACTGATGTGAAACTGCTTCAGGGCCGTGGAGGGCCTGCTGCATGTTTGTAGTGTTCAGTAAGTATTTACTGGTCGTTTCATTTATTCCTTCAGTGGGTATGCATTGAGCATCTGCTCTATGGCAGGTACTACATTAGAAGCTAGGGACACAGGTGAATAAGCTGAACAGGGCATCTGTTTCCAGGCTTGCTTTATTTTTCTAGACTTTCAAAAGAATGTTTCCTATAATTTATTATTTTCATAAGCAATTTAATAACTGTTTAAGTCTTCATATATAAAGATATTAACACATAATATAGTTTTAAGTGAAGTTCCTTTATTTATTATTTTCCTGACTCTGTTATCATTTCTTCAGAGAAAAACGCCATATTACTCGTCTGTGGTTGTCCCTGTGTGAAAGCCTACTGGTATTCTGACAGAAAGTGTTCATTTGCTATTTTGTAGTTGACATAGTGTTTATTAAAGTTTTATTTAAGTATCTGGTAGTTATGTGGCAGTAAAATACTAAACCCAGTGCTTGTATCTTATCAGCTGGTTGTGTGTAGTTAAAAGGCTTCCTGGTCAACAGCCAGGGAGAAATCTAATTTCCTGCTGTTAGTGGAACTGAACTCAGTGGATGATACTTTACTAAAAGTAGAAAAGTTCAATATAATTTTAGATTTCAATGTTTCCAGGTGTGGATTGCTAAAATTACTATCCATGTTCTTTAGATGTTTTTCTCCCATTTTGTGTTGTTGTCATAAAGTGTCAGCACACCCCTGTGATTTGTGTAATGTGTTTGAACACACACAGGACATATCCGGATTTCAGATCTTGGTTTAGCCATGGAGATCCCCAAAGGGGGGACGATTCGAGGAAGAGTCGGAACAGTCGGCTACATGGGTACGTACGAGACACCCCCAGCAAGGCTTGCACTGTCTGTGTGGGCACCAAGCCCTCGGAACACAGAGAAGTGGGAACGCGAGAGCACCTGCAGGCCCCTTCCGCCTGGTGGCCAGGTGGTGTCTGAAGTCCAGACCCAGCCTGTGTTGGGCTGCGGGGAGTCCTTCCAGTCACCCCGCTCCTAGATGACAGTGAGGCCCCTAAGGCCATGTGGCTCAGCAACGGCAGGGCCTGCACAGGGGGACAGGTCTCACTCTGCCACTGCCGCCCATGTGCACACTAGCCTCGCAGACGCCTCGCGAATTCTTGTTCCCTGGTTATTCTGAAGCCTGGCCTTGGGTCAACTCCAGGGACTACCCTCCCAGCTCCTAGCCCGGCGGTGCCAGCCTGTCCCAGGGGTGGCCTCTGACATGAAGGAGGGACTCGAGGGCCTCTGCAGAGTCCTTCAGTAACACCCCACGGCCCACTGTTTTCTGCCGTCACCTGCTGCTGGAGGTCTTGACCGTGTGGTGAACAGATGGCCAATGCCATGGGCACCTGTGGACGTGGCTCTGTGCATTCGGAGGGTACACCCCTCAGGGGACGGGGTCTTCCCCAGAGCACCTTTCTGTGGTCACTCTAGGACCACTCACTTCCTGTTCTGCGAATGGATACTGTTTCTGATGGCAGCTTTGTTGAAATATGCTTCACATACCGTAAACCCACCTATCTGCAGTGTACACTTAGGTGGGTCTCAGTGTGTTCGCAGAGTTGTGCAGAGACCACCCCTCATTTCAGAATACTTTTGTCACCTCAAGAAAGAAACCTGTACTCGTAACGGTCGCCTCGTCCCTCACCTCTTACCCCCGGCCCTGCACCCACCGGCCCCTAGAGATGGAATCGCACACTGTTCTGGGTCCTGTGTCCAGCTGTTTTTGCTTAACACGTTTCCCAGGTTTATCCATGTTGTAGCAAACGTTACATTTAGAGTGTGTAATTTGGAATTAGAAGAAAATTTAAAACCAAATTTAATTTAATTTAAATTTCCTGTGTTTGTTATGTAGCTCCTGAAGTTCTCAATAATGAAAACTATACATTTAGTCCTGACTGGTGGGGACTTGGCTGTCTGATATATGAAATGATTCAGGGACATTCTCCATTCAGAAAATTCAAAGAGAAAATCAGACGGGAGGAGGTGGAACGGCGAGTGAACACTGCCACGGAAGAGTATTCCGAGAAGTTTTCGGAGGACGCCAAGTCCATCTGCAGGATGGTGGGTGCGCTCTGGACAGCTTGGGAACTAAGCCGCTCACTCGCTGTCGCTGGGCAAATGTAGCAGCGAGGCCCTCAGGCTCCGGAGAGGCCAGCAGAGGTCGCTTCCCGTGTCTCCTGATGCAGATGCCAGTGGGGCTTCCTCTCGAGTCAGACAGGACATTAGGGAAAGCTCCAGATGGCATCTGGGAAGATGGCGGGAGTGGGTTTTGGGTTGGGCTGAGCAAGGCAGAGCAGAGCTCGCTGTGGCTTTCTCTGAGGCGCTGCCGCGGGGAGAGCAGTGTCATGGTCGCTGTTTTCAGAACACAGCTGACCGATGTCACATGACACTAAACATCGAGCAGCGTCTTTGGCAGACTTGACAGTGAGGTTTTCCTCCTCTCTGCCCACGTTTCTCTTCCCTGCCAGCTGCCAGGGAAGCCATCTGACAGACACCCTGGCTCGGCCTGCCTGCCATGTGCCTGCTCTTGTGTCCAGTGTGGCAGCAGGGCCACGGGGCCCCCGAGGCGTGGTTGGATCTGCCCCAAGTGCCCTTGGGCAGGGCTGCTGCTTTCATTCCCTTGGGGCCCGTGGCTGCCCAGGCATGGGGTGTATGGAGGCAGTTCCCTGTCACTTACCATAGGCCATTCTTAGGATTTTCCCGGCTCACCCTTTCATTCATGTTCACTCATTCACCAGGAGTCCTGAGCATCTCCTATGGGACAGGCACTGTCCTAGGCTAGGCACTGGGGATCCAGCAGTGAGTGAAACAGACAGGAGCTGGGTCCGCAATGCTCGTTCTACTTCAAGGGTGGTGGGAATGCACAGGAAGCAGGGGAAGATGTGGGGACTGTCAGACGGGTCGGCCATGGGGGAAGGGCCATGGGGGAAGGGCGAGGTGTGCACTGACCTTGGGAAGCCCTCCAGGGTCCCGAGGGGAGTGGCTCCTGGGAGGAGGGGCTGGGCAGGAAGGACGGAGGGAGGCCAGCCCGGCTTTGCGGGGGCGGGTAGGGGGGGTTCGGGTGAGAGAGGGAGTGGGGCTTAGCCCTGGGTGGTGGCAAAACGGTGACAAGTGGGAGGGTGGCACCTGCAGGGTTTGTGATGGGGGAAGTCTAAGTTGTGGCAGGGATGGGGGGAGGAGAGAAGGGCAAGGGCGAAGCCCTGGCTGCGCCCAGTGGGGTGTGGACAGGAGAGAGGGTGCAGGTGGTGAGGAGCCGTAGATGTGTAGCAGGAGCTTGTTCTCGCGAGGCTTGTGTTCGCTGAGGTCATCAGCTGCTCGAAGGTGGGAGGGGGCTGTTGGAGGTGTAAGGAGAGGAGGCACACCAGGCTGCCCAGAGATGAGATGCAGGGACGTGAGGGTGACTCTTGGGCAGTGTCAAAGGCCCACATGCTTTAAAGAGAGACCGGTGGCCTATTGTGTGTCATGCTCCTCCCGTCCCAGGAGCCACAGCTTGGAGTCATGGCTCCTCCTCGCCAGAGTTAGACTGGGGGACACACAGAGAAGAAGCTGCTGGAAGTACAGCAGGTGGAGGGCTTGCTGGTCATGAAGAGTCTAGGCTGTGACGGGCATGGGGCAGGGACAGTGAACCAGGTCCTCGGAGAGGAGGCCACAGAGAGGGAGGTATGTTGGAATCACCGACAGTTACACCTGTTAAGGTGTATTTCAGTGACTTATGCGACTTGACAGTGGCTGGAGGGTCATTATTGGTTTCTTTTTCCTTTTGTTTCCATATATGCCGCTATGTGTGTTAGTGGCCCATCATTAAACAGTGGGACCAGAGGCCTTTCTTCCCGTTCTTTCTGCTTGGAGCTGACAGTGTTTAGTCAGCTACTCTATATTTAATAACATCCTGGCCAAGCTACTGTTTATGTTCAGTTGATAACTATATACTGAGTGCTTCCTACACTCTGATAGGGCTGCGGGAGTATAAAAATATAAATTAGAAATGAAGCCTGCCCCTAAGGAGCTCACTGGTTAAAGGCAGGCCTAAAACAAACATAACAATAACTATAGTAAAAAGCAGAATTTGCTGAGTCCTTTAGGAGGAAGGAATGCCTTTCCGTTGGAGGTGCTGGGGAAAGAAGGTGGCGTCTGGGCGGGGGCCAGTGCTGTGACCTGAGCGCTGGCTTCGAGGCGGGGGCCTGGCGCGAGCCTCAGCTTCCCGCGGAAAGCCCCCCCGTCTGGGCCTCGGGTGTCCGCATCTGTGAGCCGTGGTTACGGGATCGCCGGGGACCTGGAGCGTTCAGTGACGCGAGTCCTTGGTGATTCCTCAGCAGAAGCATTTAGTTCTTAGGTGGGTTAGCGGCCAACAGCCAGAGTGGAGGAGGAGCGTCCGACGATGCCAGGTCGCTCCGAACAGGAGAGCGGAAGGGACAGGAGCACCCGGGGCGTGGGGGCGGGCTGCGGCCCTTGCTGAGGACACCTGAAGGGGCTGCAGGCTTCGGCCGGGCTCCTTGCCCTCTCTGCCTGGCACCCTCTCCGGTGCTTCGGGCCTGTGTGCTGAGGGAGTGGCCGTGCACCGGAGAGGGTGCCAGGCAGAGAGGGTGAGGAGTAAGTCAGAGTCGGGCTTGTGTAGGATGAGAGAAGAGGGGGAGGGAGAGGAGAAGTCGGCTTTTGCGGTAATCTGCTTAGGAGGGAGAATGACACCTGGCGTTTGGATACCTTTTTGTGGCTTCGGAAGCTCTGTGACATATTAGCCCATGCAATCCTCGCAGTGGGTTTCCAGATAATCTCAGGCTCATAGTTGAAAAACTGAGCCTGACTTTCATGATGTCCCACTGTCAGCGGCAGCGGGTAAACACGAGCCCAGGCTATCTGACCATGGTCCAAGGTGCTGTCCTCTGCCCTGTGCTGTTGGTCAGGCCATGGGATAGGCGTGTTGGCAGCAGGCCTGGTGACAGGGCCATGCAATCCTCGAGATGTAGGAGTTGTGTTTGGCATTTCCCTTCACTTCCAGACCCATTTAATTAACGAAGCATGCAGACAGTAAGTGCACAGAGCACATGTCACTGAGGCCCTGCCCTGGCTTGGTGCTGGGCACACTGGAGTAAGCAGCCTCCGCCTCCTGAAGCTTTGAGTGAGGCAGGAAAGACGGCACTAGGCAGTCACCCAAGTGATGTATTCACGGCAGTGGGGACGGGTGGCTTGAGGGATTGGCGGAGGATGCTCTGAGGCAGGAGGCTGGAACCTGAGGGGTTTAGTAGGAGTCGGCCCGTACACAGAGTTTTCTAGATGGAGGGCAGAGTGTGTGTGCTAGCCCAGGGCAGACTCAGCATGGCAAGTCTGAGGAGGGGAGCCAAGAAGGCATGAGCCGCGCTGCCAGAGCGCAGACAGCAGGGGTTGCGGTTGCGGCCAGGGAGCTACGGGCGAGCTGGGGCCCAGTGTGCTCTGGCCTTTGCCTGGGACTTCAGTTTCTATTCA